GTATTGCGCGCCTCTTCCTCAAGATCAGTATGTAGTGCCTCCACTATGCACCGATGTCGCCACAATCTTTTCAGTATAAGTTTTTCTTTCCGGTCCGTGTGTAAGGTGTTCCGGAATTCATTCTTCTTCTTTGTGCCGATCACGTCACACGTTCTGGTTAGAAAGCACAAAATGGGAAAAAGAAGACACAGACATCGCTCATCGGACGATGAGAGCCGAAAGGAGTTACAGAAGCGAGTAAAATGGCTGGAAGAACAGATTCTACAGCAGGAAAAAGAAAATAGGCGCAGTAAGTATACAAGGTTATGGCTAGGAAGGATCGACCAAGCCTAGTCCATATTTTTTGGACGGCCATAACGATACGCATATCGTAGAAACAAGGAAAAGGGGATGGTTTTGTTGGTCCAACCAATAAACCATAAAAGTTACGCATTATCGTTGTCCAACATCGGATGATGCGTAACCCCGCAATCGATCTCGTACGTAACTCATCTCGCAGCCGTCCAACGGTTGCGAGAGACAAACGCCATACTCAATAACGTACGTGGCTCATCTCGCGATCGTCCAACGATTGCGAGAAACAAACGCAGAATAAACAATGCAATGAGCAATAAATGCGTGCCATCGACGTCCAACATCGGATGGTGCATAACCCCGTACTCAATCCTGTACGGGGCTAACCTCGCGTCCGTCCAACGATCGCGGGAACCAAACACCGTATTCAGTCCCGTACAGGGCTAACCTCGCAATCGTCCAACGATAGCGAGAGACGAACGGAATAATGCAATGGCCCACGCTGTGGTACAACCGACGCGAAACACACACACACAAAAAAAAGAAGCCTTTTAGTTTCGCTTTATTTGATCCTTTTCTTTTTACCATAACAGGTTATAGACGACACAACTCGAGAGGATCATCGTCACCGGACAGATCGCGTAGTCGATCCCGCAGGAGAGACTACTACGATTGTGACCGTTATAAGGGACCTCATACATATCAGTACGGCGATAATCACGATCAGGAAGATCGAGATAAAGATGGACATTACAGTGACAACTCTTGCTCGCCTGAATCCTTAAGTCAAGATACGCAACCAGAGGTACAAACGGTCACGGAGACATCGGGAGATAAGGAGAATATCCCGGCAAATACACTGGACATCGGTGAAAAACTCGCAGGCGGTACAAAACCCCCGGCAGAGGTTATATCGGAGGAAGTTCAAGAGGTTGAGCTAGAAGCCGACGTCTTGGAAATAATTGGAGAACGTTTCAAACCCGATAGAGTATTGGCACCGGCCATACATAGCCAGCTGGTGGAAATTTGGGGCGAAATCATCGAAAAAGGGTTGCCGACTGAAGAACGAAAAGCATCCTTAAAAAAGTTTCCACCTCCAAAGAATTGCGTTTTAATGGATCCACCAAAATTAAATTTAGAGGTTAAGGCAGTATTGGACAGTACTATCCAAAAGAGAGACGAACGAATTGTTGAAAAACAAGAGAAGATCGCTGCTTCACTCGCCGGTGTCGGAAAAATCATAGAACTTTTGTTGAAATCGAATCCCGCCAACAAGAAGGAATATCTGGAACCTCTTATCGGCGTCGCAAGATTGCTGGCTGATCTACAACACGATGAAACTTCTATTCGGAGGAGTTTAATTCTGAAAAACATCAAAGCACCTTTCAAAGATACGCTGAAGGATTTGTTACCTGACGAGTGGCTATTCGGGAAGGATCTGAGCGAGAAAATCAAGGCGGCAAAAGTTCTACAGCAATCAACGAAGGATTTAAAACTGTCGTTTAAACGATCGACTGACCAAGGAAAAAATTCAAAAAACTCGAAAGGCCCGCCTCACCAAGGACAATACAAATCGAACACCTATCCGAAGGGGGGCGGGTACAGGCAGAATTACAGTCGACGCAATACTTGCAGTCGGAGCAACAAGTCCACTCCTCGGGGAAAGAGCCATTACCAGAAACAGGAACAGACAGATGCGAAGAAGAGCAATTAAACGTAGGTAAATTTGCTGGTAGGTTAGCTCACTTTAGGCATATCTGGTCTGAGATAACCCCCGATGAGACCATACTGAACTGGATTGTAGGATATACTATACCCTTTACATCTGACGTATACCAACGAGCCCCACCTACCGAACCTCATTGGTCAGATCAGGAAAGATGTTTAATCCAAGAGCAAATCGAGGCATTGTTAGAAAAAGGCGCGATACAAGGTTGTAAGCCTGAATCGAAACAATTTATTTCGAAAATTTTTCTTGTAGCGAAACCTGACGGATCACATCGGTTTATCCTTAATTTAAAACACTTAAATGAGTTCATAAAAACCGAACATTTTAAGCTAGAAGATGGAAAAGCAGTAAGGCAGATTTTGTCTCGCGGTTGCTTCATGGCGTCTATCGATTTGAAGGATGCGTACTATTTAATCCCAATTGCAAAGTCGGATAGAAAGTTCTTACGATTCATCTTTGAGGGAAAATTGTACGAATTTACCTGTTTGCCCTTTGGGCTCAACATAGCCCCCTATACGTTTACGAAATTATTAAAACCGATCGTTAGTTATCTTAGAGAGCGCGGACAATTGTCAGTAGTATACTTGGACGATTTACTGTTATTAGGGAACTCGTATGATGAATGTTCGAAAAATGTTCAAGTAACTAAGCAACTATTCGAGAGGTTAGGATTTATCATTAATGACAAGAAAAGTCAGACAATTCCCTCTACAAGATGTAGATTTCTCGGATTTATTTACGATTCTACAACGATGAGTATTGAGCTTCCAGAGGAAAAGATAGAAAAGATTGCAAGTAAGATTGAGAAATTTAGTAAAATGAGCCACTGTACCATCCGCGAATTCGCAGGATTGATAGGCACTCTAGGTTCAAGTTGCACGGCATTAAAATATGGCTGGGTCTATATGAAAAATTTTGAGAGAGCGGAGTTCTTAGCAATCAGGCTGAATAACGGAAATTTTGAAGCACGTATGTCACTCGGTGATGACTTGCAAACAGATTTTGAGTGGTGGAAAACAAACATTAAAAAAGCCATACATTCGATTAAACAGTTCAGAGCAGTTCTAGAAATTTTTTCAGATGCATCGCGTTCAGGTTGGGGGGCATATTGCAAGGGTAACCGAACACACGGCCATTGGAACCAAGATGAACAAGACTATCACATTAACTATTTAGAGTTATTGTCGGCCTTATTTGCATTGAAATGTTTTGCGAAAGATTTGAGGAACTGTGATGTATTATTACGAATCGATAACACTACCGCTATAGCTTATATAAACAAGATGGGCGGTATTCAGTTCCCAGTATTGAGCAAATTAGCAAGAGAGATTTGGAAATGGTGCGAAGAAAGAAACATTTGGATCTTTGCATCTTACATTTCATCTCGAGACAATGCTGAAGCTGATTTTGAATCTAGACGTCTGGAGCCGGAGACGGAATTTGCCTTGTCACGCTTAGCTTTCCAAAATATAGAGGATAAGTTCGGCAAGCCCGAGATAGATTTATTCGCAACAAGGATAAACGCTAAATGTAAACGTTACGTTTCTTGGTCAAGAGACCCGGGCTCAATCGCGGTTGATGCATTTACGATAGATTGGAGTCGGGATTTCTTTTATGCCTTTCCACCATTCGCGATAATCTTGCGGGTTTTACGAAAAATTAAAGATGATGGCGCTAGAGGTATAGTGGTAGTACCGTTTTGGCCGGCTCAAGTTTGGTTTCCTGTCTTCACCGCCATGCTAGATAGCGAACTAATTTATTTTAAGCCGCATTTAAACCTGTTACGTTCTCTAAATAGGCAGCCACATCCAATTTGGAGGAAGATTACCCTGGTTGCGGGGGTGCTGTCTGCAAAGCATTAAAAAAGAGAAATGTTCCCGAGGAAGCGCTTACCATCATGTTGTCATCGCTGTCGGAGACATCGCTGAAACAATACGATAGCTGTTTAAAGAAGTGGTGGTCCTTTTGTCGTCGAAACACCATAGATCCATACGAGGGCGACACATCACAAGTAATAAAATTCTTGACTACAGAATTCAAGAAAGGAGCTTCTCATGGTACGCTAAATAGCTGCCGGTCAGCGATAGCTCTATTGCTCGGACCAGGGTTAGGAGAAGATCCTCAAGTACGGAGACTGTTTAAAGGCATTGCGAAACTTCGACCGGGAATGCCAAAATACGAGTCGACATGGGACCCAAGAATCGTTTTGAACCACCTTTCACATTGGACGCCAAATAATATAATTACATTGGAGAGGCTCACGCTTAAACTGGTAACATTGTTAGCCTTAATCACAGCACAACGCATGCAAACACTCGCGTTGATTGACATCAGAAATATAAAAAGATCCACGAGTTTGATCGAGATTAAGATTCCAGACAGGTTAAAAACGTCAAAGATAAATAAAACGCAGCCAATCTTGAATATCCCCTTTTATGAGGAAAACACTAGCGTCTGCGTAGCATCGACGCTAGAAATGTATTTAAACAGGACAAAGGAGTTGCGAGGGACAGAAACTCGGCTATTTATAGCACTTAAGAAACCTCATAAAGGTGTATCCAGCCAAACCTTGAGTAAATGGATAAAAAAGGCCCTTAAGGAAAGCGGGGTGGATACAGAGATGTTTAATGCGTACAGTACTCGTCATGCGTCAACTTCCACAGCAAAAAGAAGTGGAATTAACATAGACACAATTAAAAGAGCCGCAGGATGGACAGAGAAATCTGGTACTTTTGCCAGATTTTACGATAGGAATATTATGGTAGATAAAGGATCTTATGCAAAGGCCATCCTAGCTAGAGTCACTAAATAATGTTTTCTATAATTACTCATAATTAA